TGTATAATATGATATGGTATGGTATTATGGTATAGTATGGTATGGTATGGTACGGAACGGTACTGTATGGTATGGTATTATGGTATAGTATGGTATGGTACGGTACGGAATGGTACTGTATGGTATTGTATTGTACTGAGATCCATTTTCCTTCCATACATTTTTCGTTCCGCAGGTTTTGTGTTCTTTCAACAATTCAAATATCAAATCATGCAGCTCATTCAGGACAATCCTGCTTTGACCTTTGGTATTTGTGCAATTTATATTATATTTAGCCTTTTCAGCCATGTTCTTCTTATTGAAAATAAAAGGTGACTTCTTCACATTCTTCAAATCCTTTGTGGTTTAAACCATTTCACTGCTCCTTTCAGCTGTTGTTCTCATTCAGCTTTTCTCAGCTTCTTTTTTGATGAGTTCAGCTTTTTTTTTCCAGGTTTTTCTGCTCCTGTCAGGTTTTTTTTTTCTCAGCTAAAATCACCTTTTTCTGTTAGTTTGTTTTATTAGCACTTTTTCTGTTAAAATTTTTGTGCTAATTTTGCCTTTTGTGATTCCTTCAAATAATTTAAACGTGCTTTTTTTCAGCCTCTTCTGCTAATTTGATATTTTATTAACCTTTCTTCTGCAACTTTTTTTTTTTTTTTTACTAATGTCAGCTTTTTTTCTGCTCACTTCATTAGGTGGTTTTTTTTTTTTCCAGATTTGTTAAAATTTATTCAACTTCTGTCTGTCTTCTTTCTCTGCCTATTTTAACTCATTCTGCTCATTTCTGCTCTATCCAGCTTTTATACACATTTCTGCTGTTTTTTTTTCTTCTGTTTTACACTTTTATTTTTCTGCTTTCAGCAAATGTCAGCTGTTCAAATTAAAATTGCATTAACAGTTCTGTGTTGAAATATTTTCAGCTTGGTTTCAACTTCTTCAGCAGCTTTCAGCAAAAATCATTCAGAAAAGGATCCATGCTGCATTTTCACAGGACAAGCAGTTCCTCGAGTTTGTCATGTTTTTCACGTGTGACCACATGTGATAACATAAATGTCTTGAAAATCTTACAAATTCATGTTTCTGAAGTCCCAATGTCATGTTTCATTAGACATTTCACAAGTTTTGTCATTTGAAAAACTTAAAAATTATATGGAAGTTCTTTTTTTTACTCAAATATGTTTGATTGGAGTTTAAAATGTTTTCTCATGGTGTGTCTACATGTAGAGTTTATGTTATTTTTTTGTAAGAGATGATAGCTACACTCTGTCTTTAGCATTTTGTCAAAACAAATTTTAGAAAGTCAATATTTTTGGAAAAAAGTTTATATGTTTTTGCTAAGAATAAGTCGAATGAACCAAACCAGGAGTCTGGTTTGTAACTCTGGTGCTATCATAAAACTTTCCTCTTGTCTTGTTAAAATGTTGTCATTCTGTTTATTTATTTTGTCAGATAAGAAGCCCCACAATGAGCTTGGAGCCATATAATTTCAGTTACATTTAGGGATAAAAAGTCATGTTGTTCATCTTAAAAACAATCAATCTCTCCATAAAATATTATATCTGTTTATTTATGTCAAGATGTCTGAAAACAGAGTTGAATTCATTACTATTATTGCTATTGTTTATTTATTTATTTTTAAGCTGTTCTGTTTTTTAATACTTTAAACCAACCATGACTGGGCAGATTTTGAACAGGCTAAAATCACGTGAAGAGCCAAACACATTTACCAAACCTGCCAGGAATCAAATATTGAAGCTGCTGCTCATCAAAAATAAAATAAAAAAAAATCACTGTAACGCCACTTTGATTGTTGAAATGTGCTGCTGATTATCCATGCTGCTGATCTCATGCTGCTGATTTATTTCATGCTGCTGTGTTCAGTTGTACTCATTTGCTCACACAGACTCATGTTCGTGCTGCTGTTGTTGGGCATATTGTTTTTATGTTACTAATGCTTAGCATTATTTTTTTTCATTCATTCAACCTTTATTTAAACAGGTTAGTCCCACTGAGCCACAGGGACTCATATACAAAAGAGATCTGGAACAATTTTTAGTTTGTTTGTCTTAGTTCATATCTTAGATATTATTACTGTTTTTCTTTTACAATTTATGCTTTTGTTGGATGTAACTGGAACTCTGTGTACACAATTTTGTACCACCACATGTACCATGAGATACGAATGACAATAAAGAACCTTGACCTTGATCAGACTATGAAACCGCTGACTGGCTGTCCCCTTTACCTCAGAGGGATCAGTTAGAATAAAAGGCCAAAATAAAACCATGGTCTGAACCACGGGCCGCTTTGGGGCAATACATTAACCCAAGTTAGATACCCGACATCGTTTCCTGATCACAGGTTCATCAGCAAGAGTTTGGTCAGTTTTATTTGACATTCTCTGTTGCTCTTTTCACATCAAAATGAAAGATTACTGAAAAATTCAAAGTTTTTATGGTTTCAGTTAGTCAACTGTCATAAAGAATCTGCAGTAAATAAAGCATACTTTTTTTTTTTTAAGTAAAATGAGAAGTAATAAAAAATATATATATTTCAAACGTCGTCTTGGGGGCCAGTAACTACCGTACCCACCATTGCACCCTGTATTCACTGGTTAACTGGTCATCATTAACTTCACGCAGACTCTCCCACTGGTACATTTTCATCTTTAAATCACTTCTTGGTCTGCTGCCTTCATACATCTCCTCCTACATGTCTCTGCGTGAGTGCAGCTACAGCGTGCGCTCTCAGGACATAATTACCTGCACCGTCCCCTCTGTGTGGACTGAATTTAGCAAAAGGGCCTTCCCCTACTCCTCTCCTTTATCCTGGAATAACTTGCAAAAAGATCTGAAGCTCCCGACACTCTCTAAGGGATTTTAAACAACTGTTAAGTTCCTGACCAATGCAGACATGTTCCTGTTTTCTACACCGCCTTATAATCTAGCTGGTTTCTTTTTTTGTTTCATTTTTATTTCATTTCTTCTATTTACTTTTTCATTTTAAGTCCTTTCATATGATTGTCTATTGTTGGCTGTACCTCATCTGTGTCCATCCATCCATCCATCCATCCATCATCTTTACCCGCTTATTCCATTTTGGGTCACGGGGGTCGCTGGTGCCCATGTCCAGCAATCACTGTGCGAGGGGCGGGGTACACCCTGGACGGGTCGCAAGTCCATCACAGGGACACATAGAGACAAACGAGACAAACAACCATTCACTCTCTCACTCACACCTAGGGACAATTTAGTTACCAATCAGCCTAACATGCATGTTTTTGGTCTGTGTGAGGAAACCGGAGTACCTGGAGAAAACCCACGCATGCACGGAGAGAACATGCAAACTCCACCCAGAAAGGCACCTGGACCGGGGTTTGAACCAGGGACCTGCTCGCTGAGAGGCAGCAGCTCTACCAGTTGCGCCACCGTGCTGCGATTTCTGAGCATGTGATCATTAAATCTACTGAAAACCCCTGAACAAGAAGCAGCACGTACTCTCTGTAGCTCGTCTGACTGTAGGGAACTTACCACAGCATCTACATTTAAAGACTAAGAGTTTTAATGAGTTTCTCAAGAGGTTGATCAAATCCTTAACGACCGTTAACATTTACAGCACACCTTCTTGCCTGACTGTAATCAAGACACGAGAACATGAGCCTCATTTTTATTCAAGTCATGATGCTGCTAATAAGGTTCAGCTAATGTACACAGGTCTGTGTACAACAACAAATACAGACACGGTAGACAGAGTGTGGTGTCTCGGTAAACTCACAGGCATGTTGATAACACCACTCACACACGTACACACGCGTACACACACATACACAATGCTTGGTCATATCAAAAACGTAACACACTCCTTAGAAACCTTGGTAGGTGTTATTTAGGTGTTAGGGGCAGAAATGCAACGAGTTCTGCAAAACGCTTCTTCATCAGAATGTTCAATAAGAGCATCATACTGAAACTTTGAATCACAGTTTCCTCTCTGTCTCTCTTTTTATTTTAAAGAAAAAGACAAAAAAAAAAATTAGACAACAGTTGCTGACATTTTGTTCATGGCAAAATTTGACGGGTACGGACTCTGAAGCTACATAATCTACAGTTCACAGCTTTACACACACAGAGAGTCGAGGACGAGACAAAGACAAACCACTTAGGATGCATTTGGGTCAAATTTGAAGACAGGTGAAATTGTTTATAAAATAAAATACATTTTTCCTACTTTAAAGTCTATACCTAGAGCAAAGTGGACGACAGCCTTCGACAGTACGGACACCATGAGACCATGTTTAAAGGTTGATTGAATGTGAGAGGTGTTTTTCATGCTGCTGAATCTCAACAGTGAGTCTAACAGAACCTTCCCCCAGTTCAAGTTGTCACTACAAGTCCTTCTCTTATCAAAAGGGAAACAATTCAGAGCACCACATGGTAACATGAACTACACAACCATTCAAACACAGACACATTTGAACGTTTTAATCTTTTACACAAATCTCAAACAAACTATTGCTTTTTTTTTTTTTTCCAGTGTGAACAAGATGAGAAAAACTAGGAACGGAAAGCAGCCACGGGTTAATGTAGGCAACCAGACAGATTGTTGAACATTGAACTCCTCTCGTTATTGATCTTTCTGCTTTTAGTTTGAGCTTTTAGATACTGTCAGTGTCTGGGGCTCCAAAACCGCAGGACGTTTGGCTCCTCAACAGAGGATTTTCTCCCGAGTTTCAGGAAGCTTCAGGGCCACCAGACCGCCACAGACGAGGGCGGCGAAGGCCAGGAAGATGGGGACGATCTTCGTGATGCCGATGAAGGCCGCAAAGATAAAGCTGGCGACGATGGCCGCACATTTACAGATCGCGTTCAGGATGCCGAACGCCGTGCCTCTGCAGAGAAACAAAAAACAAAAAAACTGTGAGTTTTGAACTCACTTAACCCAATGGTTAACCCATTTTACCCCTGATGGGTTAAATGTGGGTACTGAAGGTTTTAGAGGAAAATCAATTATTTTGATGACAGCCGAATAGGCAAGGTTCTTATTAGCTGCAGCTCTTTGTGGAGGTTGTTAATATTCATTGTGGAATGCAGGTGGGTTCTTGCTAGAAATTAAAAAACAAATGAATCCAGACACCAGATAATAGCCCTTTTTAGATTTAGGTGGCAAATAAATGATTTGAGAGAAAAGTGCTGACACCTGAGGGCAGATTTATGTGTAATGAATATCAGAGAGTGCACACAAGGTCAAAAACAATCAAACAAAAACTTTGATTTCCTTCAATTTGATGAGTCAGTGTTTTTTATGGTTTAAAGTGCCATTTATTTAAAACACTGAGTTTAATAAAGCCACCAGAGTTTAGTTGTTGCCAACAATTCTTGATAACCTGCAGAAGAAATGACTACATTAGTTGCTTATTTTATTAGTTTATTGTTTATTTGTTGGTGTTCATTAACTAATTAGGAAACACTAAAGTGAAGCAAATTTCAACAGACATTTTTAGACACTATGTGTGTGTGTGTGTGTGTGGTGGTGGTGGTGGTGGTGGGGGGTGGGGGCGCGCCAAGGCCTACTGAGAGACATGGTCTCTCCAGCACGTCAAAGGTCTTCCCTGGGGTCTCCTCCCAGTCAGACATGCCTGAACCACCTCAACTGGCTGGAGGAGGCTGTGGAGGAGCAGCGGTTCTACTACGAGTCTCTCTCAGATAACTGAACTTCTCATCATATCTCTAAGGGAGAGTCCAGTTCCCCTGCGAAGGAAACTCCTTTCATCCGCCTACATACATGCTTATATATACATGTGTACACTTAAAAAAAAAACATGTATACATGTATATATATATATTTATATATATATATATATATATATATATATATGAATATATATATATATATATATATATATGTGATAATCTTCACTTAAACAGTGGATCCTTTGGATCTAATTGTGACTCGGACTCCAATTTATTTTGGTTTTTGGTTAATGAAAAAAAAGTGTCTCCTCGAACTTTACTTTAAAGTCTAGACATCAGTCTCATTCAGACTCCTTCAACTTGTGAGTAAGTCTTATTGTCTGCTGAAGGCCTGGTTTAAGTTCAAATGGAGAATGCACTGCATCTTCTAATGGGAGAGTGTTGACCCGTACCTTTTGGAGCAGGGGTAAAGCTCCACAGAAATGACCTCTAATCCGTTCCAGGCTGCCACACTGATGGCGTAGAAGAGACACTGCCAGCATATTACAGCTCCTTGACTGAAACTTAAGAGCAGCAGGAAAGTGCAGGCCGACGACGCCAACATCGAACCCCCTGGAAAAAAGAAAGCAAATAAATCATCCAGCTTAGTCTTATGGCTGTCAGTTGAGGGGTGCTGTGAGCATGTGGGAATGTGTACATGAAAAATATTATTTAACTAAATAAATGCACACTGGCAGAGCATGATGTCTCATCTGAATATTAATTTTCATCAGGGAGTTCTGCAGTGCCTTCTGCATGCCTACCTTTCCCAGCCTCTTCTCATGGTGATATTTTATGACGGCAAATCTTCACAAGTTATTTAACCAGTCCATCCATCCATCCAACCATCCATCCATTTGTCCATCCATCCATCTTCTTTAATAGCTTGTACAAATTTGCTGGGAGCTGGTGCCTATCTCTTGTTGTCTTTAGATGCCTGGAATGGTTGCCACTTAATCATGATGAGACTTACTGACAGGAAACTATTTACACAAGGATCGTAGAATTAATTCATGTCTTTGGACTATGGGAAGGAGACTCATTACCTGGAGAAAACCTGCATGAGGAGAACATGCAAGCAAACATGCCACCTTCTTGATTTGAAGTAATAGTGCTAGCCAACTGCACCACTGACCAGACCACCATAAAAAAATCCAGTTTGCATTTTATCTTTCTCACAATTCTTTTGTATTTTCTATGTGGTCAAGTTTAGAAAATTATACTTGTTTAACCTGATGCATGCTCAATAATCCAGGTAGAAAAATCTAAAAAAGTTAAATCTGGTCCTCTGGACATTCAAAAAAACAAAACAAAGCAAAACAACAAAAAAATGTAGAAACGTTTCGTCTCTCATCCGAGAGACTTCCTCAGTCTGAGGTGTAGTTTTCAGTTCAGTCTCTTAAATAGCACCTTCTCAGAGTGGATCAACCAGTTTTGCTGCAGACAACCAAAACCAGCTGATCACATGCTCAAGAAGGACCATCAGCCTAACAATGGATCATTAGCACACTGATGGCTGTTTACTGTTCACAGAGGGCTGAGTGATACTAGCAATCACAGCATTGTAAGAGGGGGACAATTGAACACGTAGGCCTCCACCCCTGTTTAACGATGGACGGTTTCTTTTCACAAAGATGGCCTCCTTTACTCCTCTCTCAAACCATTGTTCCTCTCTATCCAGGATGTGAACATCTTCATCCCTGAAACTTGTTTAAGTTAAAAAAAATGATACGATAGACATAAAAAAAAAAAACTACTTTTTTCAAGGTTGCATGGCCTGGTCTACCTAATCTGTAGTAAATAAATGATAGTTAAAACCAGGCGAGTCATGTTCTATGTAAAAATATAAAAATAAAACAAGATAAACAAAGCCTGCTTGTGGCTGTTTTATTAGCTAACAAGACAAAACCCAGACAAAAAGTCATTGTGGAGTTTGGACACTTCTTCTCACCTATTAATCGAATCCTTCCTATCTTGTCAATGAATAATGCTGAGATGATGTTGCCTGGCAACACAGCCAAACTGCCCAAGAAGCTGACCATGTAGATGACAATGTCATTTTCCTCCTGGAAGTTTAAATGGCAGCCTTTCTTCGGGTGGAGGAAGGTGGTGTTTTCCATCTGACAGTTCTTGAACTTTTCCTGCCACAGGTCTGGAAGGACAGCAGAGATGTAAAGAAGGAGACAGCCACATGTTTTACTTTAACTGCCTCAGCAGAAACACACTGTAACAACCAGCCAGCTGTGGTACCTGTGTTGTAGAAGACAGTGTTTTTAATTGTGCAGTTCTCAAAGAACGTGTTGGTTGATTTGATGTCCTCAAAGTAGCAGTTCTCAAACAAGGACTCCTCAAACTTGACCGATTTAATCTCAATGTTTGCAAACCTAAAGAAGAGGAAAGCGACGACACGAAGCTGGAGTAGGAACAAACTAGGGATCATGACGTTGTGGATCTTCTTGTTAGGAGGAGGATGCAGACAAACTCACTTGTCGTGGATGTACTCTCCTTCGCGGTGGATTTGGTTGACCAGAGAAAAGTTGAAGTGGAAGCGTTCGACTCGTTCTCGGTGAAACACTCGCACCTTGGACTCGAACTCCTCGTACTGCATGTACTTTATCATATCGGGGAACCAAACTCCCAGCCCGTGGTAGCTAATGCACAGAACAAATTAAAGAAACAAAACCAAACTGAGCGCCGGAGTACTTCCATTTGACTGAAGAGTTTTTTAACTTGTGTGCTTTAACGGAACGTGTCGACGTGAATGTTCTTCAACCTGAAAGCCAAGCAGAACCACACAATGACCAGGAGGAGGCCTTGCAGTCTGAGCTCTGGGGCAGACAGAGACATCACGTTGGCCATCACCTTTAGGGAGAACAGACAGAACATCACGCTCGTCATCAAATCTTTCTTTCCTAGTGTATGTGAGATCAGGCGCACGGAAAGTAAAAGTTTCTGTCGGTTCTCTTATTGTAATGTAAAGTGAGGTCTCCAACCTGCTGCAGCATGGTCATTTTTCGGACAGTCCAGCGCTGGAAGGCAGTTCCTGTATCACTTTGGATCTCTATGAAGTCGTCCTCTTGAGTTTGTGGAGTCTTTATGTTTGTCACCTGCATAAATATGAAAAGTTAATGTCTTCATGTTCATAGCAGTTGTTTTCTCTGTTGAACTCAGGCCTGAAGCTGCTGTGTGGGTTTTATATTCATGCTTCACCCATCATGCTAAAGAGAGTGAAACAGAGAGTGTGACAGAGATTGAGAGAGACTGACAGAGAACGAGAGAGAGAGTGACAGAGAGACTGACAGAGAATGAGAGAGAGAGTGACAGAGTGAAAGAGAGAGTGAAAGAGAGAGTGACAGAGAGCAACAGAGAGTGAGAGAGAGTGACAGAGTGAGAGACTGACAGAGAACGAGAGAGAGAGTGATAGAGTGAAAGAGAAAGTGACAGAGAACGAGAGAGACTGACAGAGAATGAGAGAGAGAGAGAGTGACAGAGAGTGACAGAGAGACTGACAGAGAATTAGAGAGAGAATGAGAGTGACAGAGAGCAACAGAGAATGAGAGAGAAAGTGACAGAGTGAAAGAGAGACTGACAGAGAATGAGAGAGAGAGTGATAGAGTGAAAGAGAGAGTGACAGAGAACGAGAGAGACTGACAGAGAACGAGAGAGAGAGAGAGTGACAGAGGGACTGACAGAGAATGAGAGAGAGAATGACAGAGAGCAACAGAGAGAGTAACAGAGAGCAACAGAGAGTGACAGAGAGTGACAGAGAGCGAGCAAGAGAAAACAAGAGAGAGCGACAGAGAGCAACAGAGAGTGAGAGAGAGTGACAGAGAATGAGAGAGAATGAGAGAGAATGAGAGAGACTGACAGAGAACGAGACTGACAGAGAGACTGACAGAGAATGAGAGAGAGAATGACAGAGAGTGACAGAGAGCAACAGAGAGTGAGAGAGAGTGACAGAGAGCGAGCAAGAGAAAACGAAAGAAAGCAAGAGAGAGAAAGCAAGAGAGAACGAGAGAGAGAGAGAGAGAGAGAGAGAGAGAGAGAGAGAGAGAGAGAGAGAGAGAGAGAGAGTAAGCCCAAGTAGTTCCTGTGCGGTCGTGTTGTGTGGACAGTTTTTCGGAGCTTTTGTTATATTTTTGATTTTTAACTTTTCTTTCCACCTAACAATTTGAAATTTGATGAATTAGCGTAAACGTTGGCATTGGTGTGGATGGAGGCTTACAGTGAAGACTCTCTCTGGCTCGTCCTTGGCTTTCCAGTTGGTGTCGTGAACTTGCCTCAGGATCATCCAGGCCTCGTCGTGTCGAGCGTTCTGAAACCCACACACATGAACTCTGTAAGTCCAGAACTGTCTGTGTTAGTTTCCAGAGCTCTGTGTGAAACCAGACACGCTCTTTGGTCTGTGTTGGTGAAGTTATGCAGTATTTTCTGCCATATTTGAGGGAGGCTCTTTTAATTATAGTTTGGACCCCCCCAACACAGTTCTATTTACACCCCTGCTGGACAAGCCTGCTGGGTGACAGTGCTCACATTAGGTCTGTCTTTTTAGCAGAACAGGTAGTTTCTTCTAACTTGGGGGAGTGTGGCATCAGCAACACACAAAGTAAACACCACATGTGGTTGAAGGGTTGACTTTTTGTCCTGGAGGCGAATCAGATGCGGGTGGTGTTCTTTGTAACGCCTCAGCAGTGTTGCTGCGGTTGCTGATTTCTCAGATTTCATAACCAATCACAGCTAGATGTTTAAAACTGCAAAGTGAAGTATTATGTATAGATTTTGTACTCATAGTTTTACGGGTGACAGTATCTGACCTCCAGCAGGAAACGTGGACTCTCTGGCATGAAGAAGATCCCGATGAGAGCAGCCAGTGCAGGGAAGAGACACACCAGAATAAACAGTCTCCAGCTGTGCATCTGAAACTGGGTCCCTATAGCAAAACCCCAGCCTGCCAACGCAGGAAAGAACAAGTTAAATTTTCCAGAAAACGTCTACCTTAGATAGTTTATTGTGCAACTTGAATGATTAATTTAGTGCAACAAAAGCATGATTTTTATGCAATAAAGTTTTTTTTTTTAAATAATGATCTGCTTCAGTTTCTTGTAAAAGTTTAGTCAGTTGTAGATGTACACCCACTGGTTGATTTCCAAAAAGTTTCATTAAAACTGGTCCTGTGTTTCATTAAATATTTTGTAAACAGAAATGGACGGTTGACACTGATACCCAACAAAGTTCAGTCAGGCCATCTTGACGGTTTCTATTTTGTTGTCGTTGTTGTTGAGACGTTTCGTCCTTCATCTAAGGGACTTCATCAGTCCGAAGTGCCACCAACCATCTTATTACCAGCAAACTGGTTGGTCTACTATATGGGTGTGCTGCTTGTGGGACTCAGTTTGTTTGCAGCGCCTCAGATTGATGAAGTCCTTTGGATTAAGGATGAAACATCTCAACAAAAATGTTCAAACTGTCCAGATGACCTGACTGAACTTTGTTGGATTTTCTACCTGGGTTATTGAGCTTGAACTTTAACGTTGGCACTGATAGTTTATGCTAAAGTTTTTGACAAACGTCTTGTAGGATGAGTATCACATGTTGTACAATGATTCTCATTTTCTAGACACAACAAAGTTTACCTCAATATCTGTGAAACTGAATTATAGCCATTTTGTGTTTTCTACTGTTAATTGGCTGAGGCAGCCATCTTGTGTTGGGTCAACTCCATGAGTTAACCAGCTGTAGATGTCCAATGAATATTTTTTGAGAGTTACATTAAAATGTGTCCAGCGGGTCATGAGTTAAACTAACAGACACAGAAACACATGCACAGACTAAAGCATCATTTAATGACGACTTATTATCTTTTTTATTAATATACAGGAGCATTTCAACCTTTGTGTGTTTGCATTTTCTCTTGTGTATTTTGCGTTTCTTCATGGGAGTCTTGGCGTTACCGTAGTGAGGAATGATTCCCCAGGCGGTGAAGGAGGCATACAGGCCTCCCAGCATCCAGAACATGCAGAGCCAGCTCAGATGTTCTCCACGTTTATCCATCTGCAGGAACTCAGTGAAGTAGGTGTACACGATCGGGATGGAGCCTCCGATTCTGGAGCAGAAAGACACTTTTTTACTTCTCTGCCTCCTCAGTAAACACTTTGCTGCACACTCTCAGTTACAGCAGGCACTTGTTTAGGCACGCAGAAGGTTTTAGTTGAATGAATCTACATATTTTAGACCAACTCTACTCTGCTGAAAATGTCACTCTTAGACTTATTGTATATTTGTGTTGCTAAAAGCAGTAACAATTAAACAACCTTGTCTTCGTTACAAACTGATTTCAAAAGCAAAACCCTGAAATTAATATCCTCATTGGGGGAAAAACTGACACATTTGGACATTCAATAAAAACAGTTATTTCATGCTAGAAGTGCCATGATACAAAGACTCACAAGTAAATATATTTAGATACTGAATGACAGCAAAATGATTGGAGCTAATTAAATACTTCACAAATTGCAGCTGTTGTCAGCACTGCTGCCTCCCCACTTTACCCTCCTGATAAACTAGCAAAAATGTTGAATTCTATTATGCACGAGCAGCTTTTTCTGTTTTACAAAAGCACACATGCATAAGCCGTAATCGTTGCTTACAAAAGGAACCAATAAAGAATCCAATAAAGCTGTATAATGTCAGAAACAGCCCTGCAGAAAAAGGTGCTGGCACAGAAAAACTGAAGTAAACAACAAATAAGAGCATTATTTCCTTGTTTTAATTTGCATGAGAAAGGGTTTTCTCTGTTCAGGTAAATAAACAGAAATCTCCTTGTTTGTCGCTTGCAGCAAGAGTTTCACTGAGGTGGTATTAACTGTTTGAGATCGTGTCAGCATGCCACACTGGAAGCTTCTTGTAATGAAACGCTCAGTAGAATGAAAATCCACTGAGACCCAGGCTTTATAGATGAAACTTCAAGAGCTCATTTAAAAAAAAAAGTGCATCTTTCTAGGAACACAGGAAATCTGAAATGAGCTTTTTGAGGTTGACTTTAATCAAAAGTGTTGCACAGCCCTAAAAAAAACCTCTGTTTTAATGGAAATTCCCCATCCACCGTTATATAAAGTATTTAAATGTCATGCATCTTATTTTTAAAACTTGCTTTCTGCTACCACATTATTCACAGAAAAGGTCAGTCATTATGAAAAGCCATTCGAGTTGCCTTTTGTTCCAAACACTCTGCAAGCATCAGAGAGGCATCTCACCCAAAGCCCGAGCAGAACCTGAAGAAGAGGAAGAAGCCGTAGCTCTGAGCGAAGCAGGACAGAAAGGAGAAGACCAGGTCAATGGTCAGGACGTAGATCAGACACTTCCTCCTCCCCATCTTATCGCACAAACCTCCCCACACCAACGCACCCACCATCATGGCCACATACACCAGCAGACCTGCAAATGCACAGACACAGTTATAATAGGCTTTACAGATGCACCACTTCCAAAACGCTCACATGAAGCTGCTCATGATCTCCACCAGGGGTCCTCCGTTACCCTCACATGAACACAGACATGATGAACTCTGCTGCATCCTTTCACATGCACTCTAATCAGCCCCAGTGTTTCATTTCTTGGCATTTTATGATGAATAGAAAACATGTAAATACGACTACAGAGGTCCATGAAAGGCGACTCTATAGAAAGGTCACAGTTGAGAACGCAAACAAGCCATGGTTTCAGCTTTTCTCACATGTGACATGCGTTGCTTCAGTTGTTCATTGAGATTTTGAGGCTTTTATTTTTTGCAGCACTTTTACAGTTTCCAAGAATAAAATATTCTCTGACTCATAGCATCCCTGAGCCTGTGTCTGAATTACACAGGCAGCTGGTCCTATTTGCCATCGCTCCTGTTTGTAACTATGTAAACAGAGTCATATGTTCTTGTTTTGTTGTTGCCTTCCACACTCAGTCTTATAGTTTTTGCCGTCAACTTGATTTAAAACTTCAAACTCTTACCTCACGCCTGCCTGTTCTGTGTTTTTACTACAGAGCCCTAATTACTGAGGGCCTAAGCAGCTTAGTGGCACGTGGAGCCACGTTGTGCACCATGCACCTTCCCCGTGGATTACTAAAGAAGCTGAACGCTCTGACGCGCTACATGCCATGCTGCACAATCCATTCACCAAGAGACTGCTGAGGATACGAGCAGACAAAGTGTCAAAGTCTTCATGTCAGCTCATATCTCAGCCATGTTGATGCTTTAGGTGAGAGGTATGTTTTCCACGTGTGGTTGACAGGACGGACTTGTGATCGGAAAGACTGTCCTTCAGGTGAAGGTCCAGGATCCATCCCAGCTGAAATCAGTCTGAAAAAAGTGTCCTTCGTTTCTGTGAGGTCGCTGAATTCATGGAGGGTGAAAGGAGATTCATCTTTTCATTTCATCTTTTCATAAAAGGGAAAAGCACTGGAAATGTGTTTGTCACATCGAAATGATAAGACAAGGCATCTTTAAAAAAAATAAAAAATTCAAATGCAGCCAATCAAACGGTGCATCCAGCATACACTGAAGGATAACCAGCCACAGACTCCTTTTTACAACAACACATTCAGTTTCTTTAATAAACAGTAGACTGTAAGTTTCATACTCATTGATGGTTCCTTACGTACAGTATGTCTCTTTATGGTAACAGAAGGGGTTAATTCTTAATGAGTGATTAACTTGTTTGTTTGTTTATTTGTGGGATTCAGAAGACAAGGGCCATTAGAAGCACATGACTCACAAAAAACTTAAGTCCTAAAGATTAGTGGTCCAGACCCTGGTCCCTGTGGAACACCATGTTGCATGTTTCAGTTGTTTCCTGCTCCAATACGCCTGATTCAGTGATTGAGGTTGTTTTCACACCTGATAGTCTGGTAGACTCGGTTCGGTTGGGGACCATAATTCAGAACATTGCCGGTGTGGTTCACATTCACACTGCACCGAGTCAGTCGAGCCAACCTGTTCTTCCCCTCACCTGTGGTGGCGCTGCACCAAGAACTACTAAAGGAAACGACACAAAAACAACTGAAGAAGACACTTCTTGTTTTGGATGGATAATCCTGAATCAAACTAAAGATATAGGAATAAATAATTTTCATATTAGTCCTGCAGTTGCTATTCCTGTTGTCCCACCATGAGTCCTTGGACAAATCAAAGTTGATTTAAATTTATTGAAACAAGGGAGAGAATTAGAAAGTAATGAGGTGGAAAGATACATAGGAAACGAATACTCAGAATATATCAAGATTTATACTGATGCATCTAAAATGTTAAATAACAGAACTGGTATATCTTTGGTAATTCCAGAATTAAATATTATGAAAAACAAAATAATAACTGACAATTTAACAGTTTATACCGGGGAATTATGGGCAATATTTATGGCTTTGGAGTGGATTGAAGAAATTAGAGGAACAAAGGTTGTAGTTTGTTCAGATTCAAGTAGTGCATTAATTAGAATTCAGGAGGTACGTTCAGATACAAGACAAGATATTATACTGGAAATAGCTCAATTAGTTTTCAGGATTAATAAATATGGGTCAGAGGTTAAATTAATATGGATTCCTGCACACATTGGAATAATAAGAAATGAGTTGGCTGACCGTTTTGCTAAAAGTGCTACAAAAAAAATAAATACTGTGGATTTAAACGTTAACATAAGTAAAAACGAGGTTAAGAATATAATAAAGCTACATATTAAGAAGAAATGGCAAGAGCATTGGGGTAATGGAGACAATGCTAGATTTTATTATAATATCCAAAAAAAGTTGGAGGAATTCAGGAAATGTAATAGAACAAAAAAAGAAGAAGATATTATTTCGAAGATGAGATTTGGTCACACGGGATTAAACAGCACACTGAAAATAATCAATAAACATGTGACGGGCTGTTGTGATCATTGTGGACAATTAGAAACAATAAAACATATTTTCTTAGAATGCAATAAATATACAAAGGAAAGAGAGTTATTAGTTAGTGATTTAAATAAAAATAAAAGTAAGTTAGAGATAAAGGAATTGCTGCAAAGATCATTAGGGGATACAATTTTTTACCAGCTTAGATATTTGAGAAGAATAGGTAATTTACAAAGGATATAACGTGTAAAATAGTATAGAGTGGTATAGCATCGGCAGCACGGTGGCGCAACTGGTAGAGCTGCTGCCTCTCAGCGAGCAGGTCCTTGGTTCAAACCCCGGTCCAGGGGCCTTCTGGGTGGAGTTTGCATGTTCTCTCCGTGCATGCGTGGGTTTTCTCCGGGTACTCCGGTTTCCTCCCACAGACCAAAAACATGCATGTTAGGCTGATTGGTAACTCTAAATTGTCCCTAGGTGTGAATGAGAGAGTGAATGATTGTTTGTCTCGTTTGTCTCTATGTGTCCCTGTGATGGACTTGCGACCCGTCCAGGGTGTACCCCGCCCCTCGCACAGTGATTGCTGGACATGGGCACCGGCGACCCCCGTGACCCAAAATGGAATAAACGGGTAAAGAAAATGGATGGATGGATGGATGGTATAGCATCTGGTCCATACTCCAATCCAGAAGGTGGCGGTAATACACCTAAAAGCTGTTTGTAACCGCCATAAAAAAACAAGAAGAAGAACTTCTTCTTTTTCTTCTTCTTCTTTTTCTGGAAATAAAAACAAAAACGGAGTGGCAGCAAATTTGAGCGGTTTTAGGATTTCTATTTTGTTACTTTTCAACAATGGACTCAGCATGAGCAGAAGATGAGGCAGAAGACAATGGAGAATGTTCTCTTTCACACAAGGCTGCTGAGATGGCTCCGTATGAGGTAAGAGAAACGCACGTTTGTTTGCCCTGCACTGCAGTCCACTTCCTGCTTTTGGAGCGGTCTCCGGTCCGCATGCATTCACACTGCATTCGAACCGTGTTAGAGTTCACATCAACCAAACCGAGACCTAGGTATTTAGGCTGACCAGAGTTCACTTTTTTGGTCTGCATCAGAGTTCGACTGCACATTCACCCCTCCCTAAACGAACCGGACTTTATAGGCAAACGGACTAGAGTTTGATTAAAGTGGACTAAACAGGGCTGGTGTAAATGCACCCTGAATTACTTCCTCAATTTCAGCAGAATCCGGTTAATCAGCCATTCATTCAAATCAGGCGAGTCAAATCAGGGAAACAAGTAAAACATGCAGGACGGTGTTCCTCAAGGACCAGGGTCCTTGAACGGCATGGTCCTTGCCACTCAAGATCAATACAGACCATCATGGAAGGTTGAACTTCTAGGTTCTCATTTTATAGCTGGCTTGAAAGGATTTTAAATTTAAAAAAGTTAAATAATAATGATAATAGCCTAAGAATAATTGGAGGTTAACCAGGTCTCTCTTGTAAATGAGTCCTCGATGCTCATTGAGACTAACCTGTATAAATAAAGGTTGAATGAATAATATAAAGCTGTTGTTTTATAAAACAAATTAAACTTTGAGACTCAGTAAAAAGTTCAAACTTAAGAAAAAGGTTTTAGAGCTAAATCTAAAATTTCCAGTTAAGATGAACTTAATTTAAAACTTTAACATGAAAGTCAAATGTGCATTCATTCAAATAATGCTAAGTTTGAATAGGTTTACTGATTAATCTCTACTTGATGTCAGACTTGATTTTATTTATCAACATGTCTTGAAATAGTTTGTTACATTCATACAACCAGCCTTTCTTTGTCTCCCACACCTAACTTCTTTCATCCTGACCATTTACAATAAACACCAACAGGACCATTTAAAAGCCCCAAGCTGTGTTTCACAAAACATCTGAGGAGTTCATCTTCCATCTGAGAATAAGGTTTACATCACACATACAGTATTTCTGCTTTCCATCTGTCTGGTGCACAGAGCATGAGCGTGCATCAAAAGCACCATTCGATCTACTTCGTATTCTCAGCCAGTGATCAGAGCTCTCCTCTCGCGCTGCACAAACAGTTGATTTCATTTTCGCCAAGCCTTCCTCCTGCTATCACAGCCCGTCAGAGGCCCGAAGCATATCTGACAGCTCTGCACCGCGGCGCTGCAGGCCGCCAGGATCTCTGACTGCTGCAGCATGCTCCATATTAGCCTGGGAACGCATGCTGAATGCAATCACCACAGTGTTCCTCATCAGTCCCTCGCAACGCTCCATCCCAGGAGCTCCTTGTTAAGATGAAATGAGTGATGTGAAGTCTGTCACAGCGCCTGGCTGCACCCCAGGTCTGGGAAACAAGGTGAGGGGCTTTAACTCGCAGTTCAGCCGTGTGCACGGACATCATTAAGAACATAGGATTTCATGGTACATTTACTCGTAAGCTGTGCCACACACAAATATCTGCATCATTTTAAGCTTTTCTGGTAAATGCCTGCAAACGAGTGAAGCAAAAGTGAAGCTGCAATAAAAGATGCACAGCCACAATCTAATCATCAGTCAAAGTATGCATTGCTGTCTGAAAAGAATCCAAGGTGTGGCTCCCACAAGTCAAGTCCCAGACAGTTGTGGTACCACTGCCAAGGCTCAGAGAGGCTAATCTGGCTGCCCACAATGGACCAATTCACTGCTAGGACACACAATAGTAATTGTTCTTTGATCCAAGCCTTCTCCTTTAACTTGCAGGAGCAGCTGGAGGATATTCCTGTTTGATGAGCTGTAGCTGTGAAAAACCAAACATCTGCAGGATTTTGTTCCAGCCGAGCACAACAGCACATCATTTCACTGATGAGTTCCTCCTTTCTGGGTACAGACTGGAACTCGCCGACAGATGACTGTCATTAGCAAGTCTTGTGGGTTTCCAAAGGGATGCGTGTCTGTGTTGGTAAAGTAGGTTTCCTAAATCAGTTGTTAGCTACGCTAGCTGTGCGGTCCATAAAACGGTACGTCAGCAGGATGAGCTTCACAGAAATCATCAGCCATGAAGTTCTGTGCAGCGCAGACATTCATAATATAGAAGAAGGTTTAGTTTTGTGTGGGTTTTTTTTGTTTTCATTTAACAAAATGATGAAGAGGGGGCTGCTGTGGTGTAAAGGCAGGGCAGCCGACTTGGGAAAAGAAAGTCACAGGCTCAACTCCCCGCCATGCCCACATGTCGTGTTGTCCTTGAACAAGACACCTAATCCCGAACTGCTCCCCGGATACCTACATAGCTGCCAACTGCTCCACCTGGGTGTGTCTCAGATGTGATGGGTTAAATGCAGAGAACTAATTTCATCAATATATAGAAACATACAATGACAATACATATCACTTTCTTCATTTCTTTCAATAGAGTTCCAGTCACAGTTGTCAGATGACACTTGACACAAAGGTCAGAAGACCAGTCCTAAACATGTGCTGTGTGATCCTAGAAAACCAGTGCTGGCTCCAGAATTTAAGTTCAAATTAAACTGAGCCAAAGTCAAGCAGTGAACCTAAAAATAGCTTCTATTATAAATCATGAAATGTTTTTAAAACTTGGAATCAGATTAAAGAAGGACAAGCAAGAATGGTGAGGCCATTTTGGACATTCTGAACACGCTCATGAGTTGGAAATCAGAAGTAGAAACCTGGAGAGTGTCTGCCGTCTCTGGTAAGACTGTCTTTACACAGAAATAGCATCACATATCAAGGTTATTGCTGTATTAAATAATACAAATTAAAAAAATACAGTCCAACTTTAAAATATTCCGCTTTAGTTTAACTTTAGTTAGATTCAGGCACTGCAACTACATGTTTTGGTTTGAAATCATCATTGTCTTCTTTAGGATTTTCCCTCTTCAGGGGTCTCCACAGCGAGTCATCCTCCTCCATCTCACTCTGTCCTCTGCATCCTCTGTCCTCACTCCAACTACATCCATGTCCTCTCTAACTGCATCCATATATCTCCTCTTTGGCTTTTTCCTGACAGCTCCTTTTCTAACATCCTTCTACCAGTATACCCACTGTCCCTCCTCTGGACATGTCCAAAACATCTCAGTCTGGCCTCTCTAACTTTATCTCCCAGTTGTTCAACCTGTGCTGTACCTCTGATCATCTCATTCCTAATCTTACCCATCCTTTTCTCTCCTAAGGAGAACCTCAGCATCTTCATTTCTGCCACTTCCAGTTCTTTCTCCTGTATTTTTGTCATTGCCACTGTCTCCAGACCATACAACATAGCTGGTCTCACCATTGTCTTGTAAACTTTGCTTTTATGAGCTCACATTATAGTTTTGGTATATGTGTTTTACTTTGGATGCCCTTCCTGACACAACCCTCACCATTTACCTGGCTTAGGACTGGCACAAGAGATACACTGGCTTGTTCTTTCTAGTGGCTGATTTGAAAATCATCATAGTTTGGCTTAAAATACTTGATATACAGTAGTCCAAAATGTTAAGGGGCCAGTAAGAAGCTATACCTCATATTTTGGTTGCAGACATTGATATATAAATGGTTCTTCTATTTAAGGCATCCTCATTTCCAAAACTTTGCTGTGACCTACCTAACAGTCCTTTGTCAGCGTTGGATATGCACATGTCCTTCTCGGCACTGGGAAGGACAAAACCCACCACAAAGCCATCCACTCCGTCAGCCATTAGAGCCAGACCCAACACAAAGAAGAGCATCCACTGGAAGCGTCCATGGCCACAGTCCTCCATGATGGTCTCGTACTGCTCCGGCAGGTTGTCCTCCTCCTCCTCCTGCTGTGCATTCAGACGAGCTTTCCTTCTGGCCTCCAGCCGGGCTGCCCGCCGTGCCTCCTTGATCTCATCTGGGTGGGGGATGCCTTGGTATTCCCCTGTATATATCTGGTCATCCTCATCTGCTCCCTCGGTGACGTCACTGGCTGCATCCTCGTCCTGCTGGGGGTAGTCACTTTGGTAAGGGTAGCCATCCTGACCTCCTCCATCTTGAGTGTAGGTGTAATCTCCAGTCTCAATCATCTGCTGGTTCACGTTATTGTGGTAGGGGTCATCCATGGTTCCTGCAGGGTGTAAGGGGAGCAGGAGCTGCTTTGTGTTGTAGCTGTCTCACTGTTGAAGCTCAAGCTGTCAGCTACAATGGCATAATCCACCTAAGGAGTTCCTCTAAGTGTTGCTGCAGTCTCCTGGGTCCCAGGTGTCACAAGCAGCAGATCTTCTGTAGTTTTGGCCTCACACACTGCAGTGACAGACTGCTACCTTCCTTGATTTGCACCGTGCCGCATGCTGAACCTGAAAAAACATGACAAAATGTTTGTCAATTCAACAGCAACTCTTGTAAGGCAGAGACGTTGTGGTGCGTAGGTGCCCTTTGGGACAACTTGTGACCTGTCATTTTAAGTCACTGCTGCTATCTCAAAGGGCAACAGTGCTGTCATTTCATGAGGACTTGTATATCAACCTCTTCAAAAAGCAATAAAACACTCTCAGTTTCCCTCAATGGGGTATAAAATTATGTCAATGCTTTTCTTTAATGTTTTAAATTAACTTTTGAGAGTTGATGCAATCTGATATCTGCAGTTTTTCCTTCTTCACTCCCCTAACCTTTCCATTTATTATACTTCTAATGTGCTTATTATGCATGAATGAGTGCTATTTGGCAGAAAAGAGACTGTCAGGAGTGCTGGTTTTTCCTGTCGACTATTTATCCTTCTGCACAAGCAGATAATCTCATCGCCTCCTCGCTCAAACGCTCTGACGCCATTTTGATCCATCACACAGCGCTGCTGTGACGGCGACACATTCATCTGTGCTGGTTTTTCTACTGACCAGAGCCCTGAAGCAGCACTGCTGCTGCGCAACAACGTGGCGCAAACTCCACCAAATACTCACACTTTTGTTGTCACGTCAATTACTGGAAATATTAAATGACTTATAGCATGGAGTTATGCACACAATCAATCAGCTTGTATGGGAAGTTCTGATGGTGCTGGGATAGGAAATGATTTGTCTCGGACCAAACAGCTTGCCTGAATGCTAACCGCAGTTTAGCACATATTCAGTTTAAGTTCCCACAGTTCCTAACAGACTTTACCTTCATGTGACAGCTGTGAACCAACCGGTCAAGGTTTTTTTCACTTTTAGTTGTTGTTTTTTTTATGTGGATACTAATCGGATGAATCTTTTTTCTCTGTCATCTCGTCTCAAAGACTTGCACCTTTCAGAACTTCAAATGGATGACTAAATAAATAATTTAAAAAAGTGTTTGAGTGAAATGTTAGGCAACTTTGTGCAATCAGAGCAGGTTCAGTGCTCTCTCAACATGGCTCAGGAGCTTCAGTGGAAAAATAAACCCATCAATCCTCAAGAAAGGTATTTGTAAGGTAGCTGTGCCTAACACACTGGTTCTAAATCTTTTATACCTTTTATCTTGTGCACAAAAAGTTCTGGTGACTGTGGAAGTCATACACACTGATTCATATTGTCTTCTTGTTTTTCATCAAGCCAGAGCGTTGTCTTCGAGGAGGGCTACGCTTCACTTCAGGACAGATTTCATATAAAAGTGATCACTTACAGTCTGTTCTGTTTACGTGCACGACATACACGTACACACGCGTCAAAAATACAGTGAAGTTTGCTTTACGTAATCTAGTGCTTTCCCCCATATTTCTAAAAGCAGCACCTGTTGTTTTAGTTATACCAGAGTCTGGATGTTTCTGTTCTAGTCGTTGTGATGTAGAACTGTCAAACTGGTCAAAGCAGATGGCCGCTCGTCCTGAGCCTGGTTCTGCTGGAGGTTTCTTCCTTTTAAAAGAGACTTTTTCCTTCCCATTGTTGCCATTGTGCTTGCTCGGGATGAGAGACTGCATCGAAGGGAAGATTAAACATCTCTTCTGGCTTCCTTAGATAGAGAACTTTACTAACTGGCTTTTTTATGTATGTGAATGTTTCTGTTCAGTGCCCTGAGACAACTTTGTTGTGAATTGGCGCTATATAAATCAACTGAATTGAATTGAACTGGATTGCTGGACATGGGCACCGGCGACCCCCATGACCCAAAATGGAAGAAGATGGTTATGGATGGATGGATGGATGGATGGATGGATGGATGAATTGAACTGCACCACTATAACTGAGATCAGTTGTTCTTCATGACGGACTCATTACAGCCTTCATCAACATCTTCAATCCCCAAATAGTTGCTTAAGGTCATTAAAGTGTATAGAGTCACAATATTTGGCCTTACACACTGATAGATTTCCCTTTTTTCTTAAAGCAGCTTTATTTTTAGATTTGAACATCCTTCATTTTATCTATTCTTTATTTACATCTACTCGCTTGTTTCTTACAAGGTGTTGGAGATTTAGAAGAAAAAGTGGGATAAACCTAAGGCAGGCTGCCACAGGGCGACATAAAGATGAACAAAACAGACAGTCATTGACAGTTTAGATTCTCCAACGTTCATGTTTTATGACTGTGGGAGAAAGCCAAAGTTTCTCATTTGCATCACATGTGGTACATGTGGTGGAACAGAATTGTGTACACTGGGTCCCAGTTACATCCAACAAACGTATGAATTGCAAAGAAAAACGGTAATAACATCTAAGATATGAACTAAGAATATGCTAAAGTACGCTAAAGCTCGTGCTCTCAAAAATAAAAAGTAAATTAAAAATATAGCCATGTTACATTTTTGACAGATTTTAAAGAAATGTGTTTGCTCAGCGTCTCCGGTTCACATTTGACTGCCTGTACTGCGTGAACTGAGGTAACGCCTGAAGTTAATCCATTTATTTTGATTAAATGTATTTCTCTTTATTCTTCAGTTTTGCTCATTTATGTAGTGAATAAGAACATCCATCCATCCATCCATCCATTATCTAGTGTCAAAATGTTTCATCCTCACATTGTTACTGGCACCAAGATAAAATAAATCAGTCAACTTGACGGCAGCCTGCCACCAAGTTGACTGATTGTCTGTCTGTGTGCATGTGCTCGCTTTTTTTAATCTGTTGGCAAAAAAAAAAAAAAAAGTCATATACCAGGTTATTACAAAACACCCTGAAGTTGATCAACAGTTGTACATTTGCCTTAGAAAACACAGTTATGACTAAATCTCTTAACTTTACAGACAATGGGCCAAATGTTGGTGAGGTGGTTGCAGAGAGTCGTCCACAGCACGGATTCAAGGATTCAAGGATTCAAGGATTTTTTTTATTGTCATACCAGTTCACATTTTTATGTTTATGGTACGAAATTCAGACTCAGATCCCAGATCAAGAAGCTTAACAATTAACACATAAATAAATTTAAAAGAGTATGTGTGTGTGTGTGTGTATATATATATATATATATATATATATATATATATATATATATATATATATATACATAACATTAATATCTAAAACGTGGCCAATGAATGAATCTTAATTTTTTTCTTTTCTTTCTTACTCACATTTTTGGATTGTTAGTCTCAACAAAAACTGATGAGATCTAACTGCTGAACTGACCAAAGAAAAAGAAATTAAAGAAAAGAGAAACGCGTCGCCATAACAAGCATGACTGGAGCTTCAGCACAGCACTTGGTCTGCAGAGTAGATTGTTCTGAAATCAATAGGGAATTATTAATCCTCTCTCTCTCTCACCTCTTGTTTTACTTTTGGGGATAATCTCTAAACACATGGTCATCATCATTCAGTGCATAAACATTTGTGGTCGTATCCCACAATGCTTTGCTTGGGTTGGGTTATTCTGGTCTGTTCTGGTTTGGAGCCAAGATGACGAATCCTTTATTCCAAATAAGGACTACTAAAACTACAGAACCCCCCCCCCCCTTTTTTTTTTCATTCTGACCTTGTTGCCTCACATTGTCTATGTATTTATTTTTTCTTTATTGGTTTGTAAAAGTCATCAAGGTGATTGCAGCGGATTACAGAATCTGAATTAAACCCATAAAACCATTCAATGTGTGGTTTAGAAGTCTTACATTATAGAGTTCAAACATGTGAATGAACTAGTTTTGTTGCCAGGAAGTGTTGCAATGAAGGGATCATCATCATCATCAACTTGAAACTCAGTTGTGTGAATAAAACATGAACCATTCCGTAGAGATTTGCAAGAAGATCAGTGCTCAGGCTGGTCGAGGGAGCTGATGTTCCTTTCATCATCTCTCTGCAGCTGGCTCTTAGATAACAGTTAGGCTGCCTGCACTCAGCCTGTTCCCCTCCGTCTCCCTCCCTCTGCTGTCGGTGTATTGATCCATGTTTGCACCCATAACACACACACACACAAATTCAGACGTCAAATGACTTTTTATGCTGCTGCAGATTTGGAATAGGTCATGATCTGCTTTCCTCCAAGAGTGCTGAAAAGTCAGCGAGTCCCTTTGAAATCGTGAGAATCACTGTCTGTCTGAGGCCTCGCAGGAAGCACAGAGGTCACGCAGTAATTTACCGAGAGCGATTCCAGTTCCACAACTGACCTTTTAATGTTTAAATTTTTCATTGCTTTGACTGAGTCACACTCTACTGTCTCCGCTTCATCAGGATCTTTGTCTCATTGCACGTCAGAAACAAACACTTGTGCAGACTAAATGTCTTTTTCACTACTGTGATACTATCCATTAAAAATCCTATACAGCTGGATTTCCCACATTTAATTCAGGTCACTAGTTCAACCACAGTCACAGACCAGCTTCTATTTGTATATTTTAGCTGCAAAGACTTCAAACAAACTTCTCTTATGGTTAAATTTCTCTTTGGATTTTTTTCCCCCACCCAAATATTCCAACTTGCTTGGATGCACTTAGCAGTGCACTTGTCTTCAAGAAGTGTGCACCTCCAGGAGTTGTAGAACATTTTTAACATTCACCGAATGCTGTTGGAGGTATTTTACTAACACTTGTCGAGGCAATGTGTATTTTTCACTGACCATGCTCCATAATTTTAGTTGATTAATGAAGAATTAATTGCAGGTTGTTCTCCAACGTTTTGTAAATAAATATGAAGATGTTTACACCTGGTCGTTTTGGGAATCTCTTTATTCCATGACATTCTAATGTTAGATTTGTTCAATAAATATGTAACTAATGTGGTTCAGAGACCTCAAAATGCTTTTTTTGTTTGTTTTTACCTCGACTGTCAGGCTTCCCGTGAGCAGCAGGGTGAGAGGTTAAAGGAACAACTTAAACTTGTGTTATGTTCTAGTTTAAAACATAATTAAATGCAGGTTTCCCTGCATCTACTGCACCTCCTGGTAGAACGACTGAACAGACAGGTGAGTTCAGTTTAATCTCAGCGGCCTTTAGAGGTCAAAAGACAAACCTACATGATTTTTGAACATAGCCTTCCAGTCTGGATGTTGAGTTCATGTGTAACTAGATTGAGAATAAATCCCTGTCAGCAGGTTTTTATTGTGAAAATATATATTTTCACTTTGCCAGTGGGAAACATATCTTGATATGAAGTATTAATTTATGACAACATTGTATAGAGTGATTATTTCTTTGTATAGGAGTCAAAGTTATTGGTAACATTATTCATCGAACAGATATTGTTGTTTACAAGGTGGGACAAAATTCTGTTCCACTTCAGTCGCACTGATTTTGGGAAGAAAAAAAAATCAAGTCATTGTTATTAAATACTTTTTTTAACCAACAAAATGCACCACTTCCTTCTTTATAAAACCAAATAAAAATCACAGTACAGCAGGGAAAAAAAAAAAAAAAAAAACCTTACCAGAGTTTGCATTCTTCTTGTAAATCAATAACTTTTGCAAAGAAAAAGCATGAAGAAAAATGCATATATGTATAAAAAGTTAAATTCCAAATAGCATTTTCAGATGTCCAGATCCTTTATGACAGTTTATCCCAAGGCCGTGCTGCAGCCAAGCCTGAGGGATTAGGACACAATCTGACCACCCCCCTAACACCCCCACCCCCACCACACACACACACACTCCACCCTGACACACACGCACACATGCACGCACACAAGCCACACCCCTCCCACTCAGGGCTCATCCTTCAGGACACTCCCATGGACCAGTCTCCCTACACCTCCGGAGCCCGATGGTACGGTCCTCCAGCAGCTGACTGACTGTAGCTGCTCTGCAGGAAGTTTCTGTCTTGTTACTCATCTCTGAGAGTGATCCTCCACAAAGAGGTCAGAGGTCACTCTCAGCTGCCAGAAGAGAGACTGACAGATTCTGTTGCGCCCCACCCTGTAATGTGTTTTAAAGGCACTTCAACGAGGCAGATGCCTGTTGTCATGGAAACTTGAACAAGGCCCATCCAGTGTTTTTATTTTATTTATTTATTTTTTTTTATTCAACCTTTATTTATACAGGTTAGTCTCACTGAGCCTCAAGGACTCATTTATAAGAGAGACATTTTTTAAACAAAGAATGATGACAACAGTAGACAATCATAAAAAAGTATATACATTGGAAAAAATAAGTGGAAGAAAAAGATAAAACAAACAAACAAAAAAACAACAACAACAAAACAGCTACATTGTAAAGCTTTACAAGCACTGTGGAGGAGAAAACAAGTGTCCACATTTTCAGATTACAGCACAGTAGTCCCTCGTTTATGTCCCTCGTTTATCCAGTGGTTTAGGGGACCACGCCCCCGCGATAAGTGGAAAAACCACAAAGTAGGGATACAGTAGTCCAAGTTTAAGTTCAAGTAAACTTTAATTGTCATTACTATCTCATGTGGTACATGATATGTAGCAAAGTTATGTACACAAGTAGTAGTAGAAGTAAGTAGTTTATTATATATATATATATATATATATATATATATATATATATATATATATATATGAAGGCTTTATAAATGTTTCTAAACTCTAAATGCTATTTAAATTCAAATTGTAGAGAAGAGAAGTGCAACAGGACATCAAAGGGTTAACTCTTCACACAGCTGGTGCTGCATGGAACAGAAATGTACTTTTTGATCAGTTACACTGTAACAATTGAACATAGAAGTCCTAAAATAACCAAAAATAACTTTGAACACTTTTATATTTTGTGATTATGACGATTTTTCGATGTGACATACTTTGAATCTTAATTTGGAAGACAAAAGTCGATCAGTGCAGCTGGACAGCAAAGGGTTAACCCTTCATGAAGCTGCTGCAGCAGGAAGAGAAATGTGGGCGTGGCTTAGAGCTGCAGGTGACAGAGAGTGGTGGGAGCTTCTCTCTGCACCTGTTAGCTGCACACAGGTGCTAAATCATTTAAAATAATGTATTTTAAACAAACAATCCATGCTGATCGTGCAGCTCATCATCAATCAGCCAGTTATGTGTGTCATGTCCAATCTTACTTTGAAAAACCACTAAGGAGCGAGTGCGCGAAAGTCGAACAGCGAAGTAGCGAGGGACTACTATACACCAAAGTCTTCCTTTGCCTGCAGAGCCTGATGCAACCCCTTTTTGTCCCGTAAGCAGAGGAGGCAGAATGGCTACATGCCAAAGTGTCCTTGAGTGAGTCATTGAAGCACCACAGTGACTGCTCATCCATCCTGAGTTGCTCCGGATAAGCAAATCAGCAATAAAAAAAAATGACTGAAATATTTTTCTTCCCTTGAGTTGAGAAAGGTTTTATATTTTTGGGGTGTGGATAAGTGTTTTATGTTGATGCGTCTTCGTGGCACCTGAGCAGGAGATGGATGGTCACAGCTCTCCTGCACCACACATCATTCTGTGGTGACAGGGAATATATGATGGGAAGCTTGATGGAACAGAGAGAACTCAAGATGTGTGCTGGATTTTATCTAAATGATAAAAATAAAAATAATCATATTGGACCAAAAGCTTTTGACATGAAGATGTGCTGTTTAGTGAGGGGTGAGCAAACAGATCTTTATCCTGCCCTGTACTGTGAATTTAAAAATCTTTCTGCTTCCAAGTTTCAAGCAGTCTAGCATTTGAACCAACAAACACAAACAGAGCCATTAGGGTGCAGAATAAGTTTGTTTATTGTACATTCATAATGAAATTCAGTGCAAACATTTGTGCCATGGTGTCACCACATGTTGTGAATACATTTAGGAGTTTTAATGACTTAGCCTGACATCTTGGATTTAGCTAAAAAAAAATACTGGGAATTTAACTCTGCAAACAATACCAGTAAATTTTTTGGTTAAGCTGTACATTATGGGGTGCCGTTTGTAAAGTTGCACACTCAAAAATTAACATCAAAATTTTGGTTTATTTAGCTTTTAATAAGAAAAAATATAGGCTTTTTTTTTCAAAGTCATATTTTCATCATGTTATTCATACATTTATAAATGTCATAGTTCCCAACTAAATATTTAATTTACAAGATAAATATTTAGGTTATATTTGGGTCATGGGGGTCGCTGGTGCCCATGTCCAGCAATCACTGTGCGAGGGGCGGGGTACACCCTGGACGGGTCGCAAGTCCATCACAGGAACACATAGAGACAAACGAGACAAACATATTATATATATGTATTTAATAAAAACTTAATAAAGTTAAATATTTACTTAGTCAACTAAATATTATGGTATATATTAAATATTTAATTTACACCTAAATATTTAGTTTACTAACTAAATATTTAATTTCTAAGCGAAACATTTAATTCCTAAACTAAAATTTTAATTTGCTAACTAAATATTTAGCTTGGACCTAAATATATATTTTACAAACTAAACATTGAATTTACACAATAAATATTTAAATTGCTAACTAAATATTTACTTTACAGACTTAAACACTTGCTAGCTAAATATTGAACTTGCTAGTTAAATATTTAGGTCCGATCTAAATATTTAGTTAGCAAAGTAAATATTTAATTTAGGAATTAAATGTTTAGCTTAGAAATTAAATATTTAGGTGTAAATTAAACATTTAAATTACACCTAAATATTTAGTTTACTAACTAAATAGTTAACTTGCAAGTTAAGCATTTAGTTTGTAAACTAAATATTTAACTTGTAAATTAAATATTTAGTTGGGAACTATGACATTTATAAATGTATGAAAAACATGATGAAAATTTGACTTTGAAAAAAAAACTATTTATTTTTCTTAATAAAAGCTAAATAAACCAAAATATTGATGTTAATTTTTGACTGTGCAACTTTACAAACAGCACCCCATTTTAAATACTGCTTTAGAGACAGTACAGTATTTAGAAATATACTTTTTGTTGGTTTTTATTTGTTTTTAATCTGTCTGTCTGCTCCGCCCCCCCCCCCCCCCACCTGAAGACATGGTATAGCCTGTGATAGGACATCATTTTAGAGAGTAGATGTCTTGCATAGAGGCAAAGCTCTCTAATCCAAAGGCCAGATAATTCGAGTGCAAAGAGGATTAGCTCCACCCTAGCAGAGCCATTGGCTAAATTTAGCCCCCGTTCTTTCTGCCTTCACCGGTCTCCATCTAACCCCTCCTTCGAGCTTTGCCTGTCAGACCTTCTGTCCATCTATGCAAGGACTCTGTCCACAAATCGCACACTGCACCTCATCAGTAATGCTGTAACAATTTCAGACCTGTGCTGCCAAATAATCCTGCTTCTTTTCCGAGCCTCACGTCAGTGCAAGCACTCCAGCTGTTTGCTGTCTGCACCACTAACTTTTACAGCCTTACCTATCCCAACATTTTTAAGATGTCACCAAAATAATAATAAAAAAATCGTATTTTTCTAAAGTATTGCACATATTTTAGTCCTAATATTTCAAATGTTTATTCAGTTTCTTTGTGGAGGTTTTAAAATTTGCAAATCATTGCATTTTGTTTCTATTTACTTTTCACACGTCTCAACTTTTACAGACTTATGGTTGTACGTGTTGTTCAGTCTGTCTCATTTCACTGTAGATCTGTTGATCTTTTGAAAAAAGTTGATGTTTGGGTTTCTCCTTGTCCTCTATTTACAAAGCTACTGTTTTTCTTCTGACGAGCACAGAGCGATCACAGCTGGTGGTGCCCTTTCCCTGGAGGAGAGCCAGTCACTGCAATCCAATACAGAGAGGTGTCATGAAAGCTTTTGGGAAAAGAATAACCTCCAGGCGAGATATTCAGGGAGAAAGTGTTAAGCCTACTGTACTCTAAACCAGTGGCTCCCAACCGTGGTCCTTGAGGAACACTATTCTGCATGTTTTAGTTGTTTCCCTGCTTTGGCACACCTACTTTGAGTGAATGGGTGATTAATAGGCTTCTGCTGAACTTAAGTAATGCTGCTGAGAAGAACAGTTATTGAGATATTCTCATGCACAGTAACAGGAAGTGATGACAAAGGGGATCACCTGCATGTGAACAAAGTATTTTTACGAACTATAACAACACAGACATTGGGGAAGAAGCTGATGTTTCTTTAGATTATTTTGAGTTTAACATGTTTGGTGGAGGATCAGAACCCAAATGCAAAACACGAAGGTAAAAATAAATACGGTTTGTTCACTAACTAGCTCTCAGATCGGAGACAATGTGTCCAACATAATGGTACTTCTTCCAGTTATTTAACGGTTAACAATGGTGTACCTCAAGGCTCAGTCTTAAGACCCACCCTCTTTACAATCTACATAGGTAATGTAGGTCAGAGCATCCCTCATGCATCCTTACACTGATGACACAGTTGTTCACTGTTGAGCTTAACAGTTGCTAAAGTTTTCCAGCTTTTGTAATCCGCTTTCGACATTATCCAGTCAGATTTGTTCCATCTAAAACTTGTCCTAAATGCAGACAAAACCAAAGGGATGTTGTTTTCAAACAGGAAGTTTCCCAGCAGTTCTTCCTTCGATTTATCCTTGAATGGTGTCCCTATTGAGTTTTTGATTCCTACAAATATTTGGGTATCATGGTCGATTCACATTTCTCTTTTAAGCTTCACGTGGAAAACGTAGTAAGGAAAATGAAAGTTAAATTG